CTACCCTGTGAGGCTTCCAGCTTTGAGCGGAGGGCAGGCCTTCCCTGGGGCAGCAGGCAGGACCCAGTGTTTGTAACTGGGCTGCCGAATGCTTCACACTGCATAGAGGATCAGAGTTCGGGGGGTGCCGGCAACAGAAACTGACTCTGGCTAAGGAAGGAGAAGAGAATTTTGGGGCAGGGCACGGGGAAGTCACAGGGCCGTGCTGAATGAATGAATGAATGAATGAATCTGATATCTCCTTGGGAATCAAGGAGCTGCTGTTTGAGGAATCACACAGGCACCCCAGTGGGCAGTCACCTTTCCAGGGATCTCTCTGGCACTCAGTTTCCCCTCGTGTTTACAGTGTGCAGTTGTGGCCTCCGTCATTCCTAGGCGCACCATAAGGACCACAGTAGTCGCTGTTTTTAGAGAACTTTTCATCGAATGCCCTGCAGGGTCACTGCAAATGGCTGTAAAGTCTCCCCAGAAAGGCACAGGAAGTGCTATTATTACCCCACGTTCTCCACCCAGAGCAGAAGCACAGCCTCCAGCCGAGCTGGCCTGTGTGATCTCCCCCCGGGGTTTGGGGTGCCTTATCCGGGAGTAGTTGAGCCCACGCCTTAGATACCACCAGTATCCCGGCAAGGGAGACAGAGAGCATTCATGACTTTCATCCCAATTATATCATCCCTCTGGGAAAATAGGGGCGGGGACTAAGGCCCCAAAAGATTCCAAAGCATCCTCAATGAAATTTGGGAGGCGTCCTGCAACATTTGCTCTAGCTTACCAACACTCTTCCCACGACTACCTCAGGAACCTCAAGGATCTGATACTTTTTCCTGATGATTTTCAAAAGGTGCTTAAAAAAAAAAATCTTCCCACCATCCTGGGTCATGCAGCAGAGCCTGGGTGTCATTTTATATCTTTCAGAAGAATGGTTTTCTTCCTCTTTCCAAATTTCAAGGTCTCGAGTGGCGTAGCCATTTCAGTAGGTCACGGACAGGATCTTGACGATCTTCATTTTACAGATGAAGAAAAATGAAACATTCAGAGAGACTGTGCTTTCCCCTAAATCAGAAAGGTGGCAAGCAATTCTCTGTGTCTCCCAGTTACAACCTCCAAACCTCCACTTTGCCCGCAGAGGACCACCCTTCTCTCAACAGATAATAATCCTTGAACCAGGTCGAAATCAGAGCTCCGGCAGATCTGAGCTTGTCCTAGGAAGAAGTGGTCGGAAAACGGTTTCCATGGGTACAGATTTTGACATGATCAGCTGCAAATGTTCACCACCCCAAGATGACAAAGCTCCAGCAGCTTCAAAGCTGTTAAGGATAGCTTTAGGGCAAATTTTAATTAAAATTAGATAGCGTATATGAAAAGCATCTAATTTGTACTCCATAAAAGAGTTTGGGAAGCACAACTCCAGAGCCTCGGGACTGTGGCTGTAACAATTATGTTGCAAGTTTTCACAGCACAATCACAACATGTTAATTTGTTAATGAATCAGTCAGAGCAGAAGAGAGAGCTCCTGACAGCGGAGGAAAACACAGAGATTACATTTACATTTCTATTTTTAAATAAATTAAATGTTTCAAGTCAAACTCAAACTTCATACTGAAAGTTTTGACTTTCTACTGATTTTTTTTTTTTTAACTCAGATGGCCTGCTCAGATGAGAGAGTATCAAGATTCTTGGGATTTTTCAGAGAGAACTATGTGATTTCTTTGTTTAAAGGTGGCTGCAATTACGTACGTGCTAAATGTGTCCATTTAGTGGTGATGAAAAGTGGCCTTTTCTTCCTCTTTTCCTTTGTGAAGTTCTGGTCCTTAGAGTAAATGTGGACTCGGGAAGGAGCCAGCGGAGGAGAGAAAGTAACAACAGAGAGTGTGAGAAACTTCATTGCTGGTGACTCTATTTCTCAACAGAATAGAAAGAAAATTGAAGGAGGAAGGAAGGAGGGAGCAGGGTGGGACGAGGGTGAGAAGAGTGGTTTTCCCCCCAAGGTGGTACTCGCTCTCGGGGCCTGAAAACATGTCCTCAGTTTTGCACCTTAGGTGCCTCGTTCACCTCACTCTAGTGCCGGCACTGGAACCACACAGCCTGAGCTCACAAACTCCAGCTAAACGGGTCCGATGGAGACCCACCATCCTCAGCATCCCCTGACATAAGGGAGGTGGTGGTGGTGAGGGAACCTGGGGTGGAAAGATGTAGTGGCTTTAACAGACTTCAGTGAAATCACTGAATTTTTGCAGATTTTACAAAAACATATGCCCATGAGAAGACATATCAAGGACCCTATTTAGGGCCTTGGAGGGACCTGTACGAGTGAGGGGCCTTGAACTTACCCTCCACATGCTTCCGTCAAACCACCTCTGCGTGCACCATCTCATATGTTCTTCATCAAATCTGAAGAGATAGATGTTGTTATTAACCCACATCAGAGAGGGGAAGAAACTGAGGCACAGAGGAGGTGCCTAATTTGAGTTGGGTCTCACAGCTAATAACCTGCAGAGCTGAGATTTGAACTCACTTGTGTGGATGCCAGAACACCAGCTCTCACCTCCACTGGCCACTGTTTCTCCAGGGAAGGATCTCTGTGCACTCACTGTTCTAAAAGGGAAGGAACAGGGGAATGGAAGAGTAGATATGCACAGGTGTACCAAGTACAGGTGTAACAAGCACAGGAGTCTGGAATGGTGTGATGAAGACAGGCGTAACACCTATGGGTGTTACAAGCACCGGTATAACACACACAGGTGTAACAAGCACAGAGGACTGGAACAGTGTAACAAGCACAGGTGTAACTCACAGGTGTAACAGTACAGGGGAATAGGATAAAAATTAAGGCAGTGAAAAATCTGACGTGAAACCAGGATCCAGGGGAGAACCATATTTCCCACGGCTGGGTCTGACACTGGAGTGGCTGTGAGTGAGAAGCCCCTTCGAGGAGATGATGGGGCAAAAAGAAGGATGGGCAGGGAGGAGCAAGGAGTTTTTCCATCATCTCCCGATCCTGAGACTGCTTCTTAAAAAAAATTGTTTTTGAACTTTTATCCTCCTGGATAAACAAGGTATGATGGTATTTTTTTCTGAATGTAATGGGAAAATTAAATTAAGGAACCTCAGTGTAGTGGAAAGATTATATTTCTTTCGGTCATCCAGCATTTACTCTTTGGAATAGCTACCCCCATGTGCTCTATGTGGTCCAGGTTGGCCCATCGATCCCCGCACCCAAAGGGTGGGGCAGAAGCTAGCTGGCCAATGAGAGTGCTCCATTTCCTTGGACTTGGTGATTGGTCAAGGGGTGGATCCAAGACCTGAGCTGACCAATCAGAGTCATTCCCTGGATTCAGATGCAGATGTCGGTCAAGAAGGTTGCTGTAAGGATGCCCTTTAGTTGGGCCACCGATGCCTGTCTTCTTGGCTGTGGTAGAAGGCTGGTGGAGAATGAGGCCCAAGAAACTGAGGGAAGCAGAGCTGAGAGCCTGAAAGAGACAGAGAGAGATGGAAGAGAGCCCTGGCAGCAGAGCTGTGCAGGAAGCGTATCTCACTAAATCCCCATAGAGCCCCAGGAAGGAGATGCTGTTTCTCACCAACCTATATTACAAACAAGACAACGTGAAGTGAACTACCTGCTCAAGGTTCACAATGCAAGCAAGCAAGGGGTGGAGCCCAGGGTTGGCATGTCTGCCTAAGAGCCCAGTTTAGTCATTCTGCTGGTACCTAGTGAGACCCTGCCATGTGCTGACCCTGGGCCAGATGCTGAGGATCCAACTGCAGTAAGCCCCGCGGCTATCTCAAGAAAGCCCATGGTCCAGAGGGGAGAGACGTGTGAGCAAAGTGGTAGAACTCAGAGGTACTACAAGGTCTGTGACGGTGCGTGGAAGGAAATCAGCCCATTTTGCCTAGAGGGTTGGGGGGAGGGTCAGGGCAGGCTGCTCCAAGGAGGAAATACGACGACTGAGTCTTAAAGTTAGAGTTGGAGAGCGGGGTGTGGGTCGAGGACAGTTCCCGAGTGAATGCCTAGGAGAGTTGGAGACAGATGTATTCAGGTGCTGGTAAGTCAGTAGGAGGGAGCAGAGGTCACAGGGCAGGGGGACCCATCAGGGTAGTTTTGGTTTCAAGTGATCAAAATTTACCCCTAACGAACGGAAGGAGAAAGGAACTGGCTCGTGTCCCTGGAGGGGGTCCGGGGACACGTTCACCAGATACAAGGACAAGCTGAAGGAACGGGGGCCCCTGAGACTGGAGCAGGGGACTACTCACCCCATGACGCCTTCCGGCGGTCTCCATCTCTGCGGGTCTCAACCTGCATTGCCTCTGGCAGATGGGACTTCTTGTGGTGAAGGACACAGCTGCCTATGGTTCCAGCTTGCCAGCTCTGATGGAAAGAGGATTCTTTTTCCCAGCAAATGTCTATCCATCCCAGAGAAGGTCTCATTGGTCCAGCTTGGGTTACAAGACTACCCCTTGGACCAATCACTAATGCCAGTGACATAGGCTACTACGATTGGCCAGCCTGAATCTTGGAACCGTCTTTATGACCAGGGGGCAGTGACCAGAGAATATAAAAGTTTGCTAAACTGGATAAATAAATAAATAAAATTATATATCTATATCTGTATCTCAATCTACATATCTACCTACCTCCCAGCCAACTCAGTCCCCTGGGTAGACTAGGACAGTAAGGGACTCAGCACCTTTATGTACAGGAAATTTATTTATATATTTATTTATTTATTTATTTTTGTCTGTGTTGGATCTTTGTTGCTGCATGCGGGTTTTCTCTAGTTGTGGCGAGTGGGGGCTACCCTTCATTGCCGCGCGGGCTTCTCACTGCTGTGGCTTCTTTCGTTGCAGAGCACGGGCTCTAGGCACACAGGCTTCAGTAGTTGTGGCACGCGGGCTCAGTAGTTGTGGCTCGCAGGCTCTAGAGCACAGGCTCAGTAGTTGTGGCACACGGGCCTAGTTGCTCTCCGGCATGTGGGATCTTCCCTGACCAGGACTCAAACCCGTGTCCCCTGCATTGGTAGGCGGATTCTTAACCACTCCACTCCAGGGAAGTCCCTAGGAAATTTATAATAGAGACAAGCAATACTTAGTGATTTAAAATGATCTCCAACCTTGAAGTCAGCAACAGATTCTTAGGTATGACAGCAAAAGCATGAAAAGCAAAAGAAAAATAGGTAGATTGGATTTGTCACAATTACAAACTTGTGTGCATCAAAGGACATTATCAAGAAAGTGAAACAACAACCTACAGAAAAGATTTGCAAATCATGTATCTGATAAGGGTTTCATATACAGAATATATAAATAATTCCTACAACTCAACAACAAAAAGACAAACAACCTAATTAAAAAGTGGATGAAGGACTTGAATAGACATTTCTCTAAAGAAGATGTACAGATGGCCAACAAACACCTGAAAATATGAGAAACCACTTGATACCCACTAGGATGACTATAATAATAATTTTTTAAAATAAAATGACAGCATTGACAAGGATGTAGAGAAATTGGAATCCTGGTACATTGCTGGTGGGAATGTAAAATGGTGCAGCTGCTGTGGAAAACAGTGTGGCAGTTCCTGGTTGATATCACTTGTATGTGGAATCTAAAATATAATGCAGATGAATGTACATGCAAAACAGAAGCAGACTCACAGATAGGGAAAACAAACTAGTGGTTACCAAGGGTGAGGAGGGGCAAATTAGGGGTATGGGATTAAGAGGTACAAACTACTGTGTATAAAATAGATTAAAAAAACAATGGTATATTATATAGCATGGGGAATTACAGCCATTACCTTGCAATAATTTTTTTTTTTGTGGTACGCGGGCCTCTCACTGCTGTGGCCTCTCCCGTTGCGGAGCACAGGCTCCGGACGCGCAGGCTCAGCGGCCATGGCTCACGGGCCCAGCCGCTCCGCGGCATGTGGGATCTTCCCGGAATGGGGCACGAACCTGCGTCCCCTGAATCGGCAGGCAGACTCTCAACCACTGCGCCACCAGGGAAGCCCTCTTGCAATAACTTTTAATGGAGTATAATCTGTAAAACTACTGAATCACTATGCTGTATACCTGAAACTAATGTAATATTGTGAATCAACTATACGTCAATAAAAAATTAATGTAAATAAATAAATGGCCATTAAGTATGAAAAAAAAAAGTTTGGCAGTCCCTCAAAAAGTTAAACATAGAATTACCATATGACCTGGCAATTCCGCTCCTAGGTATATGAAAAAAAAATTAAGCCTGGCGCTCTAATAGTGGCTTGTACATCAATGTTCATTGCAGCATTATTCACAACAGCCAAAGGGTGGAAATCAACTGATGAATGGATAAACAAAATGTGGTACATACATAAAAAGAAATATTATTCTTAAAAAATAAAAGTTCTGATACATCATGGCTGAATATCGAAATCATTATGCAAAGTGAAATAAACCAGACACAAAAGGACGAATATTGTATGATTCCACTTGTATGAAATATCTGGAGTAGGCAAATTCATAAAGACAAAAAGTAGATCAGAATGACCAGGGGCTGGGGTTGGGGGCGGAGAACAGGGACTTATTGCTTAATAGGTTCAGAGTTTCTGTTTGGGGTGATGAAAAAAATTGGAAATAGACAGAGGTGATGGTTGCACAACATTGCAAATTTAATTAATGCCACTGAGTTAAACAGCCAATTTTATGCTGTATTTTACCACAGTACACAAATTTGTTTTACATGATCTGTGAGAGTCATATTAAAGAATCTGGTCCTGTTACAGGTTCAAAACCCCCAAGGAATGTCCCTGGAGGAAGCCTCTCGGATTACTTGCATTTCTTCTCTCCAGGGAGTGTATTTTATTGGTCCAACTACCTCCATCCCACAGTGAGTCAGAGAAAAAAATCCAAACATAAACACACACCCAGGCCTTTGCTTTGCTGATGCTGTTTGAGCTGACAGTTTGAGCTGAAGTTTACCTAGAAGGGATGAAAAGAAAAAGACCTCTTGGCCAAATTGGGTTGAGGAGCTGATCTCAGGGGAACAGCCCCCCCACCCCCCAGCCCACCCCACCAGACTGGTCTGGCTTAGCTTGATGCCCTCTTATCCAATCCCAGGCAGCTTCTCTGGCAGCCCCTCCATCAGAAAGTAGGCTCCCAGACACTCCTTCGTATTTCAGATTTTGGTATAGGGCTTCCATTGCAGCATTCCTTATTTAAAAAGCAAACAAAAGCCCAAATGTCCAATAATGAAAGGTTGAATAAACAAATCATGGCACAATTGTGTGACAGACACTCTGCAGCCACAAAAATGATGTTGGAGGACCAATATTAATAACCATTGTACAATGATGCCCAGTTAACAGACCAAGCCCTGTACAGGCATTATCATATTCAATCCACCCAACCACACTGTGATAAAAATACTATGAATCTCCCCATTTACAGATGGGAAGACTGAGGTGGAGAGAGCTTATATAACTCATTCAAGGTCATGCAGCTAGTCTGGCAGACCCGGAAGGTAACAGACTCTGCCTGTTTTGTTCCAAATCTGGCACTCCTGCTACCTGCTCTGTGTTCTTTAGAAATGCAGCCGCTGAGCTGGAAAGATGCTTACAATATATTTAGTGGACGAATAAAATTTAAAGCATTATGTATTTCTGAAGGAAATTCAGTAACGTATTTACATGCATAGACTAAAACATGCAAGGGTATTAACCTAGTTTAACATTAGCTATGCCTTGGAGGTGGAATCAGGGGGCACTTTTCTTTTTCCCTTTATGCTTATACATATTGTCTAATTGTTCTATCTCTCTGTTGTCTCATACAGTAGTGACTAGCCACATGTGGTTATTTAAATGTTAACTAATTAAAATTAAATATATTTAAGGATGTGCTTCCTTGTTGCCCTAGTTGCATTTCAAAGGCTCAGGAGCCACATGTGACAAATGGCTTTGGTATTGGATGTGCAGACAGAGTGTTTCCATCACTGGGGAACATTCTAGGTGACAGCAACGATCTGTAATGATCGTGAATTTCTTAAATAATTGAAACTCTTTGTCAATACATCTCGAGGCAGCAGAAGAGAAGAAAAGGCTCTTTAAAACTAGGTATCTCGGGCTTCCCTGGTGGCGCAGTGGTTGAGAGTCCGCCTGCCGATGCAGGGAACACGGATTCGTGTCCCGGTCCGGGAGGATCCCACATGCCGCAGAGCGGCTGGGCCCGTGAGCCATGGCCGCTGGGCCTGCGCGTCCGGAGCCTGTGCTCCGCAACGGGAGAGACGGCAGCAGTGAGAGGCCCACGTACCGCAAAAAAGAAAACAACAAAAAAAAACTAGGTATTCTCTAGATGTAGAGAACAAACTAGTGGTTACCAGTGGGGAGAGGGAAGCGGGGAGGCACAATATAGGGGGAGGGGATTAAGAGGTATAAACTATTAGGCATAAAATAAGCTACAAGGATATATTGTACCACACAGGGAATATAGTCAATATTTTATAATAACTATAAATGGAGCATGACCTTTAAAAATTGTGAATGATCGTATCGTACAACTGTAACTTATATAACAGTATGCATCAACTATACTTCAATGAAAATAAATTAAGAAATTTCAAAAAAACTAGGTGTGCCCCACACAGGCCAAAAGGTGGGGATGGAAGAGAGACCAGAAGCTCTTTTCCCACGTTCAGAAAGGAAATTGGGAAGAAGTTACAGAACTGTCAGTGGGCAGGTGCAGGGGCCGGGGGTGGGCAGTCAGCTTCCCTTGCTGGCTTCTTTCATGGTCCAGGATGGCTGCTGCCCTACGCAGCATCTCACCCCAAGGCCATTACCTCCAGAGGCTGAGTGAGGCCGGTGCTTCCTGCATGTCTGGTTTTAAGAGCAACAGAATGTTTCCCAGGAGCCCTTGCAGAGCCTCCCTTTACGCTTCACTATCCAGAATTACATCAAAATCCTGCGCCTGAAGCAACCACTGGCTTGATTTAAAACCAGTGTGGGGTCACCCATTGGGATCAGATACAACTCAATTCTTGACTTAAACAACAGCACTAGGATTGGAACCTTGGTTTGCAAAATGGCTGCAGAAGCTCCGGGTGTCACATCCTTACTGCTATGCTGTGGAAGAGAGAGCTGTTAGCCTCAGCAAACATCTCGGCATGTTTAATTGACTCTAATCAAGTGATTCTCTCATTGAATCATTGGGTGATCCTGAACTGATTAAGAAGTCTCAGGGTACCCCCAAGGCAATGAGCTAAGAATGGGGGGAGAAGCGCCCCCAGACAATTACTGCACTTTTTGCCAGAAGCAGAGAAGAATAGACATGGGGCAACCAGGGGTAGATTTCCACTGCAAGCTGGCAACCCAACAGTAAGATCAGGCAAGGCAAAGTCTCGAAGGCTACCTCCTTCCCTCTCCTGAGAGTGGGGTCCCCCTTGGATGTGGCAAGATGTGTCCAAATACAGGGAGCAGTGAGAGTGGAGAGGGAGTGAGAAGAGAAAGGGCTGAAGACTTTGCTCCTAAAATTAAACCAAAGTAAACTCTTTCAAAGTCACCTGAGCAAAGAAAGAAGAAAAGAACGTCTCTTTGAGCTGCCCCTCAATGAAAGGGCCGATGTCTTTGCATGTTTCTCTAACCTTTCCTTTAACCAGGAAATCACAATAGGATTAGCAATTTTCTGCAAAGATACTCTTTGGGTGACCTTCTCTGGGAACAAATTTGAGTGGCACCATATGCAAGCTGCATTCGTTTTTGCCTTAATGAATTATGCATGCCTAAAAAGAGATACTTATGTATACTTCTATATCTCCTTCTATCTCATTGCTCAGCCTCTGTTTCTCTGTGTTTATTAATTTATCTTCCACCCATTCACTTACCCATCCAACCATCCATCCATCCATCCATCCATCTTTCCATCCAAATGTTCCATCTGTCTGTTTATGACACCTTTGTGGATTTTCATCTAATTTGAGGGGATGGTTTACTCTCTTTTCACTCTGCTTTATCCCCGAGTAGACACTGATCTATGCTGCGACTCTTCACAGTGAGAGTTGAGACCACACTATGAATCATTTATTCTTATTTATTCTTAGAAAGTTTTGCTGCCTGATAGGCTGAGCAATTCCCTCTTAATCCTTAAGCAGATTCCAATACGGATAAATGTGGCTTTTCAAGGCTTTGGGGATTGGGTTTGTATTTCCTCTGAATGCAGCATCATGCTGACACCCGCTCCGAGGTAGAAGTTGGAACTGCGCCATTTAATCTGGAACTGAAGTAAGGTGTACCTTGCAGTCAACATGTACAATTAATGTGGAGTTGCCTCCCCCTGCCCTCCCTCCAAGAAGTTCTTGCTAAATTGAAGTCCGTGTTATAATTTACAGCCTCTTAGAATCAAAGAAATACAGCATGAATTATGAATGTTTAAAAATATGTTAAATCACAATTTATGGGACATGTTTTATCTTAATTTAAAATATTCCTTTTTCGGGAAACAGATACATTAAAGCCAGCACCTCTGCAGTAACTTCCCCGCAAAGATGGGAGAAGCGACAAGAGAAGGGTTGGTTGAACTCTTGCTACCTGCCAGGCTCAGGACCAGGAGCCTCACAGAGCCTGCATGGCCCAATTTACAGATAAGGGGTCTGAGGCTCAGAGAGGGGTAGAGTGCAGGCAGGACAGGGGCCCAGCCGGGGTCCTCACCCCTGTGCCGTTTGAGTACAGCAGGGCTCTTTACGGTGGCACTACTGACATTGGGGCTGGGCAGCTCTCTGTGGTGGGGGTCCCGTGCATCATGGGACATTTAGCAGCATCCTTGGCCTCCACCCACTAGCTGCAAGTTGTAACAAGCATAATGTCTCTGGATACTGCCAAATGGTCCCGGGGGGGAGGAGGGGCAAAATCTCCCTGGCTGAGAACCCCGGGTCTACACAAATCACAGCAGGCAATGGCTGAGGCCGCTCCGGGGTCTAGAGCCCATCACCTCAGAATTGTTTCCTGGCCCTGCTCTGGGTACCACTGATGCCCTTCCTGGACAGGCATGCAGGGTTGGAGCGTGGGAGGTTCCCCCTGCTGGGTGAAACTCAGCGATATCCCTTTGTCTCAACCCAGCATCCAGCTCAGTGCTTTAGAGAACAAGTGCTCTAATCAGCTTTTAAAAGATGAACTGAGAATCAACCTTCTCTAACTGGACACCCAAAGAATTATAAAGCAAAGGGAAGGAAGCAGGATATTGTAGTTTAGGCCGTAATGGTAATGATCTATGAGTTTCCGGGGCCGTAGCAAAATACGACAAACTGAGTGGCTTAAATAACGGAAATGTAAGGTCTCACATTTCTGGAGGCTGCAAGTCCAAGATCAAGGTTCTGGCAGAGCCACTCTCCCTCTGAAGGGAGGCATCTCTTCCAGGTCTGCCCCGCCCCCCATCCCCACCCCCAGCTTCTGGTGGTTCCTGGGTCTGTAGCAGAACCACTCCAGTCTGCACACAGTGTTCTCCCCGTGTCCAAAGGTCCCCTTATACAAGGACAGCAGCCGTATTGGATGAGGGACCCACCCTGCTCAGTGTGACCTCATCTTCATTTACCTACTTACATCTGCAGGGACCTATTTCCAAATAAGGTCACGTTCTGAGGCTCTGGGGGTTAGGACTTCAAATACGAATTTGGGGAGGGACACAGTTCAACCCCTAACAAATGACACCTGCCGAAGGGCCTTAGCCTGTGACTAGGCCAGGTACCCAGTGTTCTGGTCCTACAGCCTCTCATTCCCCCAACAAACCCCTCTATGTTTGTAACCATTATTTCCCGTTACCTTGGGTTTACCAAGCTGAGTAAACCGAGGCTCAGAGAAGAGGAGTTATTTGTTCGGAGGTTGTAAGTTACTTACGGGCAAGGAAAGTCTGTACCCCCAGGGCCTCAGTTTCCCCATCTGTAAAAGGGAGAAGATAATGGTCCGCACCGTGTAGGGCTGCTATGGGAATGGAACAAGCGAAGATTTGTCATGCCCTCAGGGACGTGTCTGAGCTGCAGTAATCGCTTGCATGCGGCCCAGAGCACGAGGTCGATCCGAGAAGGCCAAAGCCATGCCGAGGCCGAGGCGGCAAGCGGGCAGCCACAGACCCTATGGGATCAGCCAGTGCGTTTGGTTTGGCCCCTAGTGGCGTCCTGACATTTAAATGCTGGAAGGCTTCACACAAGAATGTAAATTCCTGGTCTTGTTTGAAGAACCGGGCAGTCGGGCATCTTTCCAAGGCCTCTGGTCCGCTGGCTGCGTGTGAGTGTGTGGCCCCTACTGGGCCTTAACCTGTCGCGGGATTCGTGTAGCTCCGTCCCCTGATTCTTTGAAAACATCCGTGGCCTCTAGAGCCCCACCCCTCAGAGGACTCTGGGAAATAGTCACTGGCTTCAGAAGGGCCACCCCTTTCTGTCCCCCACTCTGGGAGGTCAACGAGGGAGCCCAGACCAGCCAGGCCCCATGGCTGTCCTCGCCCAGGTAAACCCACATCCTGGGGGGTTCAGGAGGGCACGCCTGACAACTCCAAGCTTCTGCTTTTTTTTCTTTTAAGTTTTCCCAGGCTCTCTTGGCTCTCAGCTCACATGAGCTCGAATTTATCTCACTATGACAGCAAAATGTGCTAAAGGAATTTGGAGAATTGAAACCAAACGTGCAATGAGAGCGCCACGTGGGGCGGGCCCCAGCTCCCTTCATGCAGGCGGAGGATCCGCTCTCAGTTCTGTGGATGGCAACCCCAGCGGGGCGGTGCTCACAGGTCTGTCTGGGTGAGCCCCTGGGTATTGATGGCAGATCTGAGAACTGGAATCTAAGCCTCCTAGAGCCACAAAGATGTTTTGAGACATCGCTGCAACCTCGGCACGTTTGAAAGGGTGACACTGAGCCCCAGACGGTGAGACCCATCCCATGTCACCCAACATGGCAGAGGAAGCAACTCTGTATGACTTGATCAGCTTCCTAGATACCTTTTTCCTGTTTTATATTCAGAGGAATTTCTTTGGATCCATTTTTTCTCTGGCGTTAGACAGATCTGTGTTAGAGCTCCAGCTCTGCTGAAGAAAATCCTGGGAAGCTTACTTTAACCATCCTGCACGTTGGTTTCTCCATCTGTAAATCGGGAGGAGTCCTGCCACCCTAAGAAGGTTGTTCATGCTTCCATTCATGCCTTCAGATGGGATGAATTTGGCTGCAAGCAACGGAGGACCCAAGGGCCTGCCGAGCTGAGCGCTGGATATAGAGCAGAAAGGACAGCAAGTCTGCCCGCAGGAACTTGTCATCTTTCAGCAAATGTTTGTTGAGCATCTACTACATCCCGGGCATCGTGCTGGGCCCTGAGGATACGGATGCTGCTCTACAGTCATGCAATCAAGGAAAACATGTCAAGCGCCTTTGGGGGCCGAGCGTGAGGTGGCCGCGATGGAAGCCAGGAGGCCAGATAGGAGGGGCAGCAGAGTCGAGGAGGGGGGCACTTGGACTAAGACGAAGGTTCTCAACCAGGGGCAACCCTTTCCCCAGCCAGATATTTGGCAATGTCTGGAGACATTTTTGGTTGTCACAATTGGGGGCGGGGGAGCATTGCTACCGCATCTAGTGAGTAGAGGCCAGGGGTGCTTCTGAACCTCCTCCAGGGCCCAGGACAGTCCGCACTGCAGAGGACAGTCCGCACCACAGAGAACAAAGCTGCCCAAGTGTCACTAGTGCTGGAGGTGAGAAATCTGGCCTAGGGGAGTAGCAGTGGGGATGGAGAGAAGGGGCAGGTGGGAGAGAGAATTACTGGTTGAAATAAATGAGAGCTGGGCTGTGGGCCCCTCTCCGGGTTTGCCCCTGAGCCATGTCGTGCTTGCTTGGCTCTCTTGCTTCTTCTTTGCCTCCACTCTCCTTTCTTGCTGGAAAATACTAACAGCAGGAACTCCAGGAGCAAAGCCCCCAAGACACTCCCGTCTGGGCTCCCACTGCATCGGCAGCCGGCTCCTGGCATGATTTGGAGCCAGAGGGGAACAAATAGCATCTTTAACAATGAAACTCAGGTCTTGTTTTTCAGGTTTAAAAAAATGGAGCCGAGTGGGCAGTTGAGTGCCTGTTAAATAACCTCCTGATCTGTCCGTTCACATGAAAAGGTGCTGTGTCTGTCTTGAGATGACTGTGTATACCTTTGCTGAGGGAAAGTGGTGGGGAGGGAAGCCCTGAAACTATATTCCTGGGAGAGACTGGAAACTTTCTTGTTAATTCCCCAAAAGATGTGAACCCAAACAACCACTAAATACCCAACCCAGAGCTAAGGAAACTCGGTAAGTGGCTTTCAGGAAAATCAAAATAAATGGGAAAACCCCAAAGAGGAAATACGCCCATTCAGGGGAGCGTTTTGGTAGATGGAATCTTGGTCTGGCATCAGAGAGCAAAGCCTCGGTCCCTGCCCTGCGATACTTGAGACATCAACATTTGACAAATAACTCCATTCATTAATTCATCGTTTACCTGGTGACACGGTGTCCTGGGCCGCAGGCAGAAGGCTGGTGCTACAGAGCAGGAGTGATCACTCCGTATCCTCATGGAGTGTAAATTTATCCACCTTGGTCTTCATAACTCGACAACCTGGGCTCCATTCTCCCACCTGGAGCCATGCCCTTGCCCCACCTTCACTCACAGATACCAGGAGCTGACATTATTTTCTAACAGAAGACAGGAAGTTGGTGTCATCCCACCACCTGGGAAATATTCAGAGAACAAGCTTTCAGTTGCCATGACAACTTTAGTGTCAGAGCTCTGTCTATAGACTTTAGAAGTGTGTGTGTGTGTGTGCGTGTTTGTGTGTGTGTGTGTGAATTTGGGGTGGGGAAACGAATACTCTTGTCTTCAGGCAAACATTGAGACATTGAGAGGGGACATGAGCTAAGTCTATTGGATCTTGAATGGTGTCAAAGGCTGAATGTGAACCTGTTTCCCAAATCCTGAAGTACTAAATCCCAGGGGCTTGGTTTGAAGGTAAATAAATAACTATCAAGTAGCAATCTCACAAAAGCCAGCATTTAAGAGAGGGTTGAAATAAAAGTTAATACTCCCAGTCAGGAGAAGTAGCCAGCCGCATGGCAGAAAGAAGGCAGGCGAGGGAGATGCAGATGAAAGTTTAGGTCCCTGACTCTCCTCTTATTATCAACTTGGCTTTGGGCAAGTGACTGAGGTTCTCCAAATCTCAGTTCCTCTGTTTGTAAAATGGGGGTAATTAGGATGCCTCCTGCCTAAGGTAATAGGGGTAGAGCCAGATACATGGCAAGGAACGGCATGTGCAAAGGCCCTGCGGGGACTTGAGAAGAGTTCTCCTGGTGCACTGCAGGGAGGCCAGAGAGCCAGGTGAGCGAGGGAGGTGGTGTGAGACAGGCTGGAGGGGGTGGCAGGAGCTGGACCACGAAAGGCCATGTGCGGCACAGTGGCGGAGGACGTTGGAGAGTTAGTGTGCATCCTAAGAACACAGATCTCAAAGTAGGAAGCCAGCACCAGCACCTTGGAACTTATTAGACACACAAATTCTCAGACCCCACCCCAGACCTCCTGGATAGGACATTCTAGGGGCGGGATCCAGCAACCAGTGTCTTCACAAGCCCTCCAGTGCCTCAATTTGATGCACACTCAGAGTTTGCAAACCATTGTTAAGAGCAACAGGAGGCGGTTAACGTGTTTTAGGCCAGGCAGTGAGAGGGTCCATTTCCGCTGGGGAAGCCTCTGGTCTGTCTTGCTGAATTTTGCTGGGTGTGTGTTACCTTTGCTCAAAGAACGAGAACGATATCTAGGTAGGTTTGTAGATAAAATAACTACAGGACAGGACGTTTAGTTCACTTGGAATTTCAGAAAAACAACACATACTTTTTTAGGATAGTATATCCCATAATATGTGCTGGGTTTTATCTGGCAACACAACTACAAGCACCGAATTCGGACCCAGGCTGGTTGAGCCATGACTTGTTTCCTGGGACGCTTTTGGAAGGTGGGAGCCGTCTTTGAGATGTGCCCATTGATGCAATCACTCAGGGCACCATCACTTCCAGGGGAATGGTCTCAGCTTCTGTGAAGTGACTCATACTGAACTGATTAGTTTCAGAAAAAGAAATAATAAAAATGACTGAGTGGTTGTTTATTACTGGGCTGTGTTTCAGACTGCTCCCGTGTTGCAATCACTTGACTTACAGCTTTTTTGCTGGGTGAGAAGCCGTGTTCCACCCCGTTCGCCTGCCGAGCCCTTCTCACCTGCCAGGGACACCTGCGAAGTTGTTGACGCTGTGCCACTCACAGCGAAGCTGGCGTGGCTTCAGGGGGCTCTGGCCCTCCTTGCAGACCCACCCTGGACCGTGGGCCCGTGCAGTCCTTCACTGGGATTTGGTTTTCCACCCATCAGCCAGGCTAAATACACGGCATACCCCTTGCCTCAGAACCTCAGAGTTTTCCTGGTAAATGTTTACCTGGTGGCTCTCCATTCAACTCAGGGCTCCACTCTCATGGGCAGGATTGATAAAGCTTTGGAAGAAGATAGACTGACATCCGAATGTTGGCTCCCCCCACTTGCTGGCTGGGGCTGGCACAGATTCCTTTGTCCCTCTGAGTATGTTTCCCATTCTGTAAAATGGAAATTATGGGAAGAACAGACCCTCATCACAAGGTCACTGTGAGATCTGAATAAGGAATACCTGTCACACGCATCTCAATACAGGAACACAGGGAGGAACCTGGCAGTGGGCGTCCTCCTTCTTGGGGGGGGTTACAGCAAAGCACCTGGATGAAGGATGCTGGGGTGAAACAATCCAGATGGGAAACAGGCTTTAAGAAAATGCTGGTAAAATGCTAGGACACTTGGAGAACGGTTGCATCTTGCTCTGGTTTCAGACAACAGGAGGGAGAGGTGGGAAAAGGGAAATATCTTTAGTAAGAAACAAATAAGTCTTGTTTCTGTGCTTTTGAAGATCTAAGTAGATGAATCTCTTCTTCTAGTTGGCATTTTTTGTTTTGTTTTGTTTGTTTTATTTATTGATTTTTAACTGTGTTGGGTCTTCATTGCTGCGCGCGGGCTTTCTCTAGCTGTGGTGAGCGTGGGCTACTCTTCGTTGCAGTGCGCGGGCTTCTCATTGCGGTGGCTTCTCTTGTTGCGGAGCACGGGCTCTAGGCCCGCGGGCTTCAGTAGTTGTGGCTCGCAGGCCCTAGAGCTCAGGCTCACTAGTTGTGGCGCACGGGCTTAGTTGCTCTGCGGCATGTGGGATCTTCCCGGACCAGGACTTGAACCCGTGTCCCCTGCATTGGCAGATGGATTCTTAACCACTGCACCACCAGGCAAGCCCTGGCATTTTGTTTTATGTGTTTTGTGTTTTAATATCTTTTGGGAGTTTGGGATTATGAATCTGCGGATGGCGCCAGAGTCAATCTCATGGGTGCCTGCCATTTTCAGCTGCTAATTTCTTCCCCATCTGAAGTTGTATTGCTTTAATGTTACTTTATTCTATGACATCAAATACCCCCCTCCCCTGTGCATTATGGAATATACATTTGCTTCTTCCCCCGGAAAAAATAAATGAATCCATCCATACTCCTTTATAAGAGGAGTATGTCCATGTTGGAAATTAGGGGCAATAAAGAGAGAAAGGAAGAAACACTCAGATTCCAGCCACTCAAAGAAATACTCATTCTTTTAAAATAACATTTTTGTTCCTGATTATTATCTGAAGTTAAAGTTATTAAAGTAGAAATTTGGAAAATAAAGATATAAAAAAGAAAATAAAAATTCCACTACCCAGAGATAATTACCGTTAATATTTCAGCATATTTTCTTCTATTCTCTAACACACCACACACACCACATTTGAGATGTAATTATATAAACTTTCATTACTTACAGTTTAGAGTGCAGTTTTTAATCATTTAATTTCAAGCCATGAGAATTTTCCCCTGTCGTTTTGTCCTCCTGGAAAACAATTACTTCTGTGGTTACACAACAGGCCATGCCTTCCTGTGGTTTTGCCATAATTGAACCATCCCCCATTGCTGGGCATTTAGGTTGTTTCTAGCTTTGCTCCATCACATGCTGCTCCCTGGGTGTATTTGCCCACGCATCTGTGCCCACATTTCTGATAGTGGCCTAAGGACAGATTTTTCAGACTCTGAGTCTTCAGAGAACACATCTATTTTAAATTTAAAATTAATTAAATGTGAATCTTCCTCTAATTTTATGTCGATGCTCGTAGAGCCAGTGGGAATTCCCAGGCTGGAGCAGAGCAGGGGATGAAGGAGGAGGACAGGGTTAGGAATCCCTCTCGAAACCTGTTGATTTATCTACCTGGGGGAAGGAGAAAAGAAACGCTGGTTCCACCTGAAACATCTGTGCGTATTTCACAGCTGCCAACACAAACTTTGGTGTCACGAAACCACAGAGCTCCCCACTGGTGCCTGACACGAAAACTGCGAGCTCGCCAGAGAGGTCGTGGGGCCGGCGGACTCCATTCCCAGAAAAAACACGACTTGTTCGCCGTTACAACACGTTCACCTGGAGTGTCCTTACCACGCTCAGTCTGTCCCAGCCTCCACCCCTTCTGACTGAGCCATAAACTAACTCGCCCAACCCGCAGAGCCCGTGGCAGCTGTCCCGGGATACAACCGGTTGCAATTTGGAATGCGTTGAACGCTGATTTTTATCTCCCATGAATAATGCCAGCTTTCCTGGGACGAAAGGGAATCGCAGGGGTGAGACTGTCTACTGGGAACGTGCTACGCTCATGCCCCGGCACGCAGCGCCCTGCCCTTGCTGCCCAAGACCCCCAGCTCAGGGCACCGGGGCCTCCCCAAAGGTGCCTTAAACACCGGACACCGTTCCCAAGCCTGACACCACCTTCATTGCTGCCCCTGAGAAAGACAGTAGGATTAGCACATGCTTCAAACTCCAGGTCCTACTGTGTGACCTTGGGTGAGCCACCTAACCTCTCTGATTAGTAATACTACCTCCCTTAGAAGGTTGACGTGAGGATGAAGGAGGTTAAGGCATATACAGCACTCACAACAGGCCTCCCGCGGTGGAACGATTTTGCCATGAGCGTGTGAGCTCCATGGGACAGACACTTGGTCTTGTCTGCTGTGACATCCCAGGTGCTCAGGACAAGGCCGGGTACAAGGTGGCGCTCCCAGACGAGGTGCTGAAGGCATGCACGCTGCTCACCGGAACCCCGAGTCTGATCGGGGTGCCCAGCAAACCCTGATACATATCTTTTGCATCCAGGAATGCATGCGGCTCCACCTTGGGTATGGGTATCTGGATCAAAACACCGGCATCAAAGACACTTGAGTCCATCTCTTGAGACAGGCCCGGCGCTGGACACCGAGAATCTAACCTGTGTTCTCTAGGGCAGCTCTTCCCCTTGCTGGCAACAAGCACAGACAGAAAATGATGATATTTAGACAGTGCACTGGGGTCAACTGCACAGGTTTGCGGGAGTCTGCATGGAACTTGGTGAAAAAATGCATTACATTTAAAATACTCTATAATTATAAGAAGGAGGACAAAATACAAAGGATTATGGGGATATATCTAATACTGAGTTTTGTTTAAAATTTCCGAATAAAACCATATCACCTTTTAAAAAAAAACTTGGACTTGCTTCGATTAACGTACCTAGTTTATGTCAGAGCTTATGATTGTCGTGACGACACGATTCCTGCGGAGAGGTTTTGCTGGAGACGTCTTCGAGTCTTCATTGTTACTATCTCTAAGAAATTTTGAATAAATAAGGAATAAAATCTTAAAACTTTTAGAACAACATTCATAAAAGGAAGGAAAAACAAGTGAAATGACATTTTTAAAAAATCCAAAGGTCTTTAAAAACAACACGTGTAATATTGCAATATCTTATGTCGGGATGAAAGAAGTTCACACCTGATCAAACCTCCACATCCTGCATTTCAAAATAATGTTGAGGCTCCAGTTTTCAGAATTCGCACTTTCCTGCAGTGGCTTGGATGGCGCTAAAAGTGCACATCAGCCGCAAATAAACAGAAGTTGCAATTCCAGACAGCCTATAGTTGGCCCGCCTGGAGACACAGCCCAGCAGCTGAACCTCAGGATGTACACCACGCAGTATTCTACTTATTTAATATGTAAATAAAAATACAGCATGTCAGATGAAAGTGTCGTGTTAGAAACAAAGCGTGATGAAGTAAGGAGTGCTGGGGTTGGGTGGCTCTTTGGTTGTTCCATTTTGGGGGCGGGCGTCTACTGGCATCTAGTGGGTAGAGCCTGGGATGCTGCTAAACGCCCTACAATGCACAGGACGGCCCCCACCCCAGAGAATCAACCACCCCAAATATCAGAGATGTGCAAGTTGAGGACTCTGCTCCAGGGCTTTAGAAGTCATTACGATGACCTTGGCGGTCAGCCTGAGCCAGAACTCCGTTGCAGGGATTCCCGCGAGCGACCTGATCCAACTTAGGTTTCAACAGCGCCCCCTGGCTTCTGTGTTGGGAACAGAAGGCGCAGGGGCCAGGATGGGAGCAGGGAGAACCGGCAGGTGCTGGCCGACAGCCCGGGTGAAAGGATGGTGGCCTGGGACAGGTGACAGTGGATCGGAGTCCCTCCCTAGCTGTGGTCTCATCTTCTCACCCAGTAATTCCACACCTGAGCTATCAGCCTAAAGAAATAAGCATTACAAAAAAAAGATGAAAAGGGGTGGGGGAGGTTCAGAAGAGGACCAGATGAAAATGCCAGAATCATGATTTCCTTGCAGTCCAGTGGTTAGGATTCCGTGCTTTCACTGCCGAGGGCCTGGGTTCGATCCCTGGTGGGGGAACTAAGATCCCACAAGCCTGGAGGTGCAGCCAAAGAAAAAGAAGAAGAAAAAAAGAAAAAGAAAAAAATTGGGAGCAAAATCCACATCCAACAGCAGCGGCCAGGAAGGAAGCGAAGGGGCAGCCTGTTGGCTGCTGTGTCCCCCGTGCCTGGAAAGGGGCCGCATCATGGCCAGTCGCGGGGACTGAGTGATCAGAGAAGGACAGTGTACCCAGTGCCTCCACGGGCTACCGGCAGGTGCTCGGAGGAGCTCGGGGGACAGACCTGTGAGTGTAGACAGAAGGACATGCAGGGCAGGGAAGACAGGGCTGGTGGAAGGATTTGCATTCAGGTGGTAGAACGTCTAGACAGTACGTACTTAAAACAGAAGAGAGGACAGCCAAGCCCACCCTGCCTACCGGGGCACGTGGGGATGCAGAGAGCAGCTGAAGGTCCCAGGAGAACAGGCCAGCCTCTGGAGAGGGCGAGGGGTGACAGAGCCCGAATCCAGGTGGGGAGGGGTCTGGGCAGGGGCTCAGCAGCAGGCGTCGCCCCCTCGAGGCCCGGCCCCTGGAGTTTCAGGGAGCCTCCTCCACCCCTCTTCCCACCTCCCTCCACCCATCCGCCCCATACCACATGCGCTTTTCCAAACATTGGGGTGTAATTACAGTCAGCATTGTTGTGGGGCTCAGGGAGAGTGAGCGGGTACGGGGCTCACGATCTGGCCTGCCTCCGAGCGGGGCGGGAGGTGTTTCCAATAAACCGGGGTGTTTTTAATGAGTCCTTTACAGCTGCTAAGTGATTAAACCAGAGATTGACAAGGGTGACTGGTAGCACTGAACCTTGGCAACAAACGAGAGGATCAGGGTCCCACCCTGCCGTACCCTCGGGCGCTCCTGTAAATTATGGCCGCAAAGTACAAGCGAGAGCTGGCGGGGGGCAGACTTGTGCAGTTTAATTGATAAACTAACAAGCACCTGTATAGTTCATAGTGACCGGGAGACCTTGTTTTCTTTTTCTTCAGGTCTGATGGAGATCCACACTGAGAATAACCTCTATCTAACGCCTGCAGTAGGAGGTTCCACTGGTGTATGGGACCAGGCCTGCCTGGCGGGGGTTGACCAAGCAGACAACATACAGGGCGCCCAGGTAAATGCGAACTTCAGATACATAGCAAGTGCTTCTTTTAGTGTAAGTATGTCCCAAATATTGCATGGGACACACACTAAAAAGTTATTCATTGTTTATCTGAAATTCAATTTTAACTG